GGGAAGGGTTTTTAAAAAAAAAAAAAAAAAAAAAAAAAAAATGAAGCTGGAGGTGGGGAGGGGCCAGCAAACATTCTCACTTAAGTTATTCTCTGACACGTTCTGTGTGCAATTGATTTTTTTTGTTTAGGGAGGCAATTGGGCATATGAAGAAAGGTGAGCAGGAAAAGACAAAGACCTACAGTGCCTTAATTTGGACAGACAAGTCAATACAAAAGGAAGATATTGTGTTTCTAGATGATGTAAAGGTATCTAGGTTTCCTTTTTAGTTTTAGAGAATGCCTGTCCTAAGTAAGGGTAGGCTCTCTTTCCTTGTCTGTTTTTCTGTGTCTCTGTTTTGTTGATTATGGGTTCCTTTCATCCTTTTGTTATGCAGGCTGTCCTATCCCATCTCCCCTTTGCTGTACCTTTTGGACTGCTAAGTCCGTGTTTTGCTAACTTACAGTCACTGTTGTTTTGCTTCTTCAACCAGGCCAACAAACATTATTGGCCTAAAGGAAGGTAGATCTTATACTAAATATCAGTTGGTAGGAAATGCATTTAGAGGTAGAAATTTCACCGTGCGCCCTCCACGTTGCTTTAGTAATATAAGGGAGCGACAAGCAGAATAAGGAGACTAACGCAAAACTTAAGTCTCTTGTCCAGCCCCTGCTAAAGCTGCTTTTGGGCCAGTAAGAACAAAGCAGTGTTTCTGCAGAATGCTACAAACAGAAAGCCTTAGCCAGGTACTTGGCGTAAAGAAAATGTTATGATTTCATGGGAATTGGTCCAAGTGTCATTCAGGGACACACATGAGATGGTAAGATGACTACTTCCAGGTTCAGGTTTTGACATGTTGCAGCAGTGTCAAAGGAAGAGTATTCTGTCAGGCAGAGTACTCTGGAGTAGAAACTACTTTTATTTAGTGTTTATTCCAAAAGTTGTGTATATTTTGGCATGAAGCATTAAAATGGATGAGGCCAACTGCTGCAAAACAATTGCTTTTTATCACAAAAGAAAAAGATGCTTCCAAAATCAGTGCCTCTCTTTGTAGAGGGAAAGTCCTTGAAAAGAATGAGATGAGATCTCAGCTCTGCTTTCCATTTACTCCTCTCAGCTCTGCTTTCCATTTCTTATGTGTGGAGGGATGGATGTATTTTAGACAAA